TTATCACAAATAAACAGTGCTCTCATATTCTGAGAATCAGATTACTGTATTTGTAGAAAGCGCCATTTCCCAACCTTTCTCATATGAATGGACGCCCCTAAAAAAAACTAGGGAATGATTTCTTTCTCTGCGTCGTGAATGAAGGCTGTTGGAGTTGAAACAAACACGAGCGAAAGAATGAAAAGCCAAGCCGCGTTGAGCTGGAAAGCAACCTGGCCTCGGGTGACCGGGGTTTAATCAGAGTTCAGCTTCTGCGACTGACGTGATTTGCGGGCAGCTAAATTCATCTCTCTGTTTTGAATATTCGTCACACAGCTGCATGCAAAGTTTGTATTCCCTCAGGACATGGCAAGCAAGCACCATCAAAGCACAAGGGCATCATCAAACCGAGGTTCAGACATTCAACATTGTGAGAAAGTGCAAAAGCCTGACCGAGTAAAATGTTCCCTTTACTTACCAGGATATCAAATGAATTAATCGACACTCATTTCAATTTTGCCCAAAATCAAAATGTTTACCTTGAGAGTCGTAATCGAAAGGACTCTAAATTTGAACCAGGTTCCAAAATCTGTATCTTGACGGGTTATTTGTATGAACAGACCCCTGCATATTGACGTTAATAAAATAATTTCACAATTTTCACCAATATAGGTTTTATTCCAATGCCTCATAGTGAGCAACGTGTACAATTTTAAACTCTTGGTTTAGGCGCCATATTCTTTCCTGGCTCGATGGCAAAATCAACAAAATTGGTTCCACATTGAAAAACGTCCAACTAAAGTCCAGGCACTGGTCAGTGAAGTTATGAAAAGAACTGTTGTCTTGTCTGTTGACAGGCCACGGTGGTGCTGAACAAATCGAGAGGGCAGAGCCTCCCTAACGTGAAGAAATCCAGTTAGAGGACCTGCGAGGCTTTTGATCATCTCAACGCCACGCAAAGTTGCGCACGGCACAGACCCGCATTCAGCACAAAAGCCTTATCATTGCATCCACCCCCCAGTCCCTTCATCCTGACCAACCCTTTCTCTGGGAGAAGCATGCAAACATGCAACGAAGCACAAGAAAAGAAATATTCCCAAAAGCCAGCATCTGTCTTACCTGCATTTGAACTTGTCATGTTCAAATCGGCAATGACAAAAGCTGCCTGCTTTGAAAGCATCTCACGTTCTGTTGATCCTGCCGCGTTTACAAAAAGTTTATCAGGACAAAACACTTTTCAACCGTCACGGGATTCTTTTTGCAAAATTTAGTCAGCCACCTTATTAAGAAGGCCGGCTTTTGGAGCTTTTACTGTAAATGCATATTTTAGCAGCTCACTTTTTTTTTTTTTTACCCCCTTTTACATTGTGCCTTGAAAGCATTCCAGTCTCGTTGGAGATATCACATTCCTGTTCATGTTCAGTCATCCACTTTCACTGAAGGAGGAAATTGTTACAGTATGCACTTTGTCATGCTAAGCAGCACCAAATGAGCCAACAGTACACAGCAAACACCTGCTATTCGCCAAAATAGGCCAGTAATTGAGCCCCTCCCCCACACCTATACACAAAAAACAAAAAAAATGTTTAGAATTGCCTATAGATGCCACAGGATTGCAGTAAAACACTACTTTTGTCTTAAAAGACCTCAACTCACTTCAGCACATTTTCTTGGCATCAGGATTGTGGCAAACAACTATTTGTGTCTGAATTAAGATCCTCAATTCACTTCATCATAGTCCCTTGGCAGCAAGATGACAAAACACAATTATTAACTAAATAAAACTCTTGAGCTCAGTTTAACATAGTTCTATGGCCCCAAGATGGTGGCAAAGCACTACATTTTTCCAAGTGAAGCTGAGCATCAACTCCTTTCAACATAGTTCTTGACAACAAGAGGCAAATTAATACTTAATTAGCAAATTGGTGTATTTTGAAATGCCAAACCATGAACACACGGGGGTATTTCAACTGTCTTTAAAAAAAAAAATCATACATTCCAAATTCTCTGATGACCATTCGCTCCATGTTACGCAAAATATTTTGATACAGAAAAATATTTTAGATTCTTTTTTTTTATAATAGGAAGCGCTTTCTGCGATGTTTACAACTCAAACTGTTCTATTGATTGACGAACATCGACTAATTTAAAGATACAGTGACTAGATAGCCAAAGACTTAGCTTCGCTTTTGCAGCCTCTTTGAATTAGCCCCTTTGTTGCTATAAGGAATATACTGTATGTAAAAGACTGTTTTGTTCACAAGATTTTTTTATGCAGCATATTCAAAATGGCAGTAAAATTATTAATGTTTAAGTGATGTAGGATGATGACAGAAATGTATGTGATTGCGCTGCAGATGGACGTAATGGAGATTTGCATTTTGGTGAAAAAGCAAATAAACAATTGGATCATTCAACATTTGATTTTGTTGTTAACGCCTTTGTTTCAAAACAGTCGACAAGCAAAAAAATCCCAGCAAATTTTTGTGACGTTTATTGATAACTCCATGGAGTCTGACACCCTTCAAGGAAGGGGCTATTCACCTTCTCATGTCCAGACTGCATATGAATGGCACTTGCACAAAGCTGCTAAAGCTACTTTTGGCAAACTTTTCGCTCACAGACAATTGAACAAGTGGGTAGATGACAAAATATGTACTCGTGTTGTGATTTTAATACAAAATCAGCCTATCCCAGCTGAATTTGGACTGAAGGTAGGATACACTGTGGATTGGTCGCCTGCCGGATCACAGGGCAGATACAGACACAGCCATTCATATTCCCTCCTACGGACAATTTACAATGTAATGAAGCTAAGGTGAACATTTTTGGAATGCAGGAGGCAGGGATGCCACCACACCGGGATTTGGGTCAGGGTAGGGTGATAGAAAAACTGCAACTGGGCAACATGCAGTCTACAATCAGTGTTTCATATGTCCACTTTAAGTACATTTCAGCTATTTGCTCTACTGGAGTGCAGTGAGCCATGTATTTGTGTAATTGAACACATGGAGCCAAAAGGTACAATTTGATGTAAACTGCATAAGACATTGATTGAAAAGACCTGAAATTGGAAGTGACAAAACTAGAAAAAATCCCAACGTTTGAATTTTCATGGTACTAGTGTCAAGATAATAAAGCCAACCTAAAGATGCAAACAGTGAAAAGTGTATTTACAATCTATGCCGGCTATATGACATGCATGACAGGATGAGGGCGTGGTTTTCGTACAGTACAATTACCAATGATCCACAAAGAGCCAATCTGTTATTTTGGGCTTTTATACAACAAAATGACAACAACGTAAACGGTGATGTTTTCATTAGCTTTCAAGTCAGCCTTCATCTTGGCAACAGATCTTCATCAACGGTGGCGTTCACTTTTGTCACTTCAAACACGAACAAGAATTCTTGAGTCATCATCACCAGCGCGGTCTTCCGCTTTTACATAAAAAAAAAATCCACTATCATCTGCTAACTAGCCTCTCTTTCTATGTGTACGTTTCACAAACGTCTACCATAGCGCTTTTTTGGTGTTCCTTGTTTCCTTAAAAGGCGATAAGCGTCGGAGGCCACGCCCTCTCCGCGCGCTCGGAGAGAGGCGCGTGCACGGACTAACGTTCACTTCCAAATAAGGAAGTGAGTTCAACGAAAACCCGCAGAGGGGAAGGAGACGCAACCAGCCGGAGAGAGAGAGCGAATGCGAGAGAGGAAGAGAGAAAGGGGGTGGAATATGGCTGAATGCACGCCTCTTGGTCTGGATTAAACCATCCCTCTGGCGTTCCGTTAGGTTCAAACACAGCACCTGATTTGTTCTATCCATCCCTCATCTGAACCAAACAGTGAAAAGTGTATTTACAATCTATGCCGGCTATATGACATGCATGACAGGATGAGGGCGTGGTTTTCGTACAGTACAATTACCAATGATCCACAAAGAGCCAATCTGTTATTTTGGGCTTTTATACAACAAAATGACAACAACGTAAACGGTGATGTTTTCATTAGCTTTCAAGTCAGCCTTCATCTTGGCAACAGATCTTCATCAACGGTGGCGTTCACTTTTGTCACTTCAAACACGAACAAGAATTCTTGAGTCATCATCACCAGCGCGGTCTTCCGCTTTTACATAAAAAAAAAAATCCACTATCATCTGCTAACTAGCCTCTCTTTCTATGTGTACGTTTCACAAACGTCTACCATAGCGCTTTTTTGGTGTTCCTTGTTTCCTTAAAAGGCGATAAGCGTCGGAGGCCACGCCCTCTCCGCGCGCTCGGAGAGAGGCGCGTGCACGGACTAACGTTCACTTCCAAATAAGGAAGTGAGTTCAACGAAAACCCGCAGAGGGGAAGGAGACGCAACCAGCCGGAGAGAGAGAGCGAATGCGAGAGAGGAAGAGAGAAAGGGGGTGGAATATGGCTGAATGCACGCCTCTTGGTCTGGATTAAACCATCCCTCTGGCGTTCCGTTAGGTTCAAACACAGCACCTGATTTGTTCTATCCATCCCTCATCTGAACCGCTTGTCCTTGTTCGCTTAAAAAAAGTCGACCGCCGTCATCACTGTCAGACAAGCAAATAAAGGACTTGTTTTTTTAAATTGAATTTACCCGCTACAAATTCACAGCACCCTTTATGATGAGACTCAATATTTCGTATTCCTGCATTCGAATAAAAGAAGCTGACGTTTTATTTGACAGCCATCGTCACTGCCAATCATGGTTTTCTTAATTTAACCACGATTGAACTAAAAGAAAACCCATTCAGATCTGAATGGGTTGAACACAGAACACCTGGCTCAATATTGTGCATTTTGGGGAATTTATTAAAAACGGCGACCACAAACATTAAACGTATATTTTCACATTTATTACCTACACTAAATCCACGCCCACACACTATAAATCCGTTTTAGATATATAACGTAACATTTCCCTGTTCCAAATACTAAATGGAAAAAAATTGCAGTCGGATGTTGTTGTAGGGGTTACGCGCTCGTATACGTCGCTCACGCTTTCAGGCTCGCGCACGTCGGCGCGTTCACGCCGTTACCAGAGCGAGCGAGAGCAAGTCTTCATCTTCATCAGCGTCATCACCCTCAGAGCTCCATTCAATTCCTGGCCAGACGCTGACCAACTCAGAGCTACAACAATGGTACGTTTAACGACGCTTCACACACTATTTGAGGTGTTTTATGTACGGGGTTGAAAATGAAAAGAAGCCGTTTTAGTGAGATTAATTCAATGCGACCCCCATTTCCCCCCTTCAAAAAAGATAAAAGCTGTTTTAGCATCAAGCCCCATAGAGAGCGACGGAAGCTAGCTTTATCGTGACCCCTCCTTTCAAGTATGTTTTTAAGTCGTGTTAACCATCCAAAATTGCTTCCTGGAAAGCGTAGTATTCAAATGTTAAGATTTGGGTGCCCTTTTAAAACGTCCACGGCCTGAAACGACTGGCGCCATTTCGCTCATTTCCGTGATCCGTCCGACATTAAAGGTTTTTATTTTTATTTTTAACAAAGCCCATTGGCCGCACTGCGTCGCGTTTGTTCGGAAGAAAACGAGTTATCCCCGGTTGTCATGGCTGTGCTGCATCTTTGTGTTGTTCGGCCGCGGGGCTTGGCGATGTTTCGTGTCAGGCTGGCAGGTGCAGAGCGAGCGAGACGCCTGCGGCTAACAAAGCTAACGGTATTGTTAGCATGCTAAGCTAACGGGATGACATCCATTACGGCTGCGCGAGCTGTGATTTTTTTTTTTTTTTTGTGCTTTCTTTGTCTCATTTGACGCTAACTCGACTTTACGCGCTAGCCACAGACCTCCCAAAATGCTTCGCCAAGTGATATCGAGGACGGATGGAAATTAGATAAAATAAAATTCAAAGTCATGGCTAAACGCTTGAAAATCGAGCGTCGGTTTTTTTTGGTATAGGAAACTGGCGTCCACTGGTCATGGTCACATGTGCTGCATTCACGGCCCCACCCTGAATTTGGTGCAAAGAGCATCCTAGATTTAGTGCGTGATGTTAAACAACGCGAACCATTCAATCGCCTAATAAATATCAAATTCGAATTGTGTTTTCTCACCTATTCATTCCGTCGCATTGGAGATAGAAGCGAATGATGAAGCGTTATATAAACCGGTTTTAGCAGCGGAAGCTAAAAGGCCGCAGGGTCCGGATCCTCATTGCGCATCTTCCTTTTTTTTTTTTTTTCCTTTTGAGACGCAATCTGCACCGCCCTGCGAGCACGTCACGCCATTAGAGGCGACCACGACAAGTATGGCAAGCCGTTGGAGAATTTATTGCATATCCTTAACATTCAGGTAGTCATATTCGTAACGTCTTTGGTCCACACTAATTCCGTTTAGCTTATCATAATTGTAACGTGTGTTCATTTTGACAAATGCTCATTTTGTCACCAACCTGCTAGTAAAACTGGGGTGCTCAATTAACAGCTTTAGATTAATTTCAGCAGCCTAATAGCACAAATGCCAAGATTTTTTTTTCCTTATTTTTTTTTCTTTTACATTTTTGGAAGACAAGAAACAAATGATTTGTTAAACTATAGCCCACTAACCTTGATTTAATCTTTGTGGCTGATCATGATCTGGATGATTGAGACTGTACACAGACGTTAAAAAAAAAAACAAAAGTTTTTTTTTTCTTTGATTTTGTGACTTTTAGTCAAAAATGGCATAGGCATTTATGCTAATTGGTTAACAGTCTTCTACATGTGTACACATTGAGTATTCGTCAAAAAATATACACTTTTATGGAAAGCTGTTTGAGCGCTAAAGCAGTGTTTCCCAACCTTTATTGAGTCAAAGCACACATTTCACATTGGGAAATAGGATCCCACAGCACACCATTTAGCAAAACAATTCACAAAAATTCGCCACGCAGCTTAATTTTGTACCTTCTGTCCAGTGGAAGAGGATCTCATTGTTATGCCTGTTAGTATAGGTGGTTGGCATAGATAAATTTAACCTCAGTTTTCAGGTGCTTGGCTGTATGTTACTAGTTCGGCGCCTTTGTTCTACTAGTTCTGTTAACGACATTAAGTAAGACTAGTTGTCAACAGCTCTCAGTTGTACATGGAGTTGTTAAATTTTTTAACAGCGTAGGTTGCTGTGAAGCTTTAGGATTTATTCACAGCACATTCGTTTTCAGTCATAATTTAGTGCACTACTGTGATGTTAGGACCATTTAATTTCCCTGACTGAATAAATATTGTCTCATATTTGTACACTTAGTACAAGGTGGGCTGTGTAATATTGTTGGGAGTGAAGTATAATGATGAATACTCATTACATCTAATATGTCAAGTAAACTGTTGATCACAATTTTAGTGATTGTTGTGTTGCGTTTTGGTGACGTTGCCCAATGAAAAGGTGCCGGTTTGATAACGTCAGGGCATTTCTGGTCAACTGCCATTTTGTGTCACACCCTTCAAATGTCGGGATTGCAAATGCGGACTTGTCAGTTGGACTTTGCTCTCAACGCCAAGCGTCTCCAGGAGTCTGATTAGATTAGGAATTCAAATTTACTGCGGTTGCTTTGTGGTGCTGTTTGATAGCGGCTGCAGCAAAAACATAAAAGTCGTCGATGCCATGATGGCATCTGCGCAATGTAAGATTGTCATAAAAATGTCTCATCCAAATTATTTGATGTGAAAATCAACCGCTGAATTCTTGTGGATTGAAAGCTTTCTCGCTCTAAATTAAAATTGAAATGCAAAGAAAATACGTTGGCAACTTGCGAATCGCTTCATTTTGAATATTGAGCAGGACAAACCCAAAATGAAACCGCCTGCATGTGGCAAGTGGAAACTTCAGTTCAACTGACCACCAAGTAGTCTGAGCTCTTGATGTTGCGCACTTGGCCACACCCCTAAAAGGCGCACTCTTAACTAAAGAATACAATGCATCTTTATTTAATGTTTCAAGGTGTGTGACTTTTGTCTTAGCTACCATTCCAAAGTTCATTTCCCTACATTCTCTGTTGTGTGTGTGTGTGTGTACACATTATACAGTGTCGTGGTGGCCTGAGATGTACGTTTACATTATTCTATGTCCAAGCTTGTATCTCAAATCTTACCGTTGAATGACTAGAAACACAGTTAATCCATTAAAGCTACCCCCACACAAAAAAAAACACCCCCCCTTTTTTTTTTGACAAAATAAATTACACTTAACAGTATTGTGTGGAAAAACAAATTGTAACATTTGCTCTCCGCCTGGCAAACACAGACCATGTGAGCAGAAAACACAACTGCACCTCATACATTGTGATGTCGTTCCTTGTAGTTGTTCTGTGGGAAAGCAGCTTAATGGTGCATTAGTGTCACCTGTTGGTATTGCGCTTGTGCAATAAATAAAGTGCAAGGAAACCCATGTGAATTGATGATTGGATGGATGATGTGGAGTTGGCTGGCGCCATCAAGAGGTGGGGTTCTTAACTAGTAGTAGTACACGCCCATCTGAAGGCAGAAAATAGGTCAAGTGACAAATGGCCAATTCTTATCACGCTTTTATGAACGTGCGGGTTCCTTCCTGGTTAATAATTGCGCTATTTCAGACGCCTCGTTCCCACTTCCTTTTCCATCCTCAGTAAACATCAAGTATCAAATACAACTTTATTGTCAAATGTGCTGTACGTGTCGCATAAAATGACAAAATAACACAACACATAAAACAGACAGTCATGTCATCTTAACCACTTGAATGGAGGAATCATGAACGTGTTTGTGCTTCTCCACACTTGAATCTGTTTTCTTTTCCTGCCTTATTTCCTTTTTTTCTTTGTCCATTTGCTCTCCTGCCCCCCCCCCACTGATGCATACGCGCGCACGCTCTTTGGGGCGTCCTCCTCATGAGACTGCGTTTTCTCCGCAATGAATTGGCTTAAGCAAAGTCAGCAGATGCAGCGGCGTGAGTGGAGGGGAGCATATGGGACTCGTCAGCGGGCCAGACAGAGGTGCCATTGTGGGCCACTTCAACCCCCGCATGGCACGCCTTAGCTTAGCGCGGCTAGCATAGCCTCCTTCCTGACCTCTCCCGCATGGTCAGGCAATGAAAGTGGTGTCATTGTGTGAATGCTCTTCCCCTTTGTTGTGGTTATTGCTTGCTTCTCACTGGAGAAAAAAAAATGTAATGTTGAGTTTTAAGGTTAGGGTAGCACAGACATTTTTTCAGCTAACACACAAATATTAATGGTAATTTTTTGCTTTGTCACCAAATTAATAAAGCAACAATTTAGACTTTCTCTAGGCTAGTAGCATAATTGCCCAATTACTATTTTTTAAGTCATTTTCAGAAACCAAGAACACACTCAATAAATTGCTTCAATTCAACCTTGCTTTTGACTAAGATTCTGTATGAGACTCTATGGAAAAAGTTGTGACATCCTGCTTGAGTCGTGTCTTCTCGGCCGTCTGTCCCACAGCCAGCAGCCGGTGGTCATGGCCACACCTCAGCAGAGTCACATGCAGCCCTCGGGCTCTTGCTCGTCCTTTTTCCTCCCACTCTTGACTTTTTTGTGGGCCATGGAACACTGTGGCGATTGTTTGCTTTCCAGGCGCCGGCGCTTCCAAACGTCATTGTTTTCCTTGGCCATACATTTGCTGCCCAAAAGCACAGCAGAAACTTCAGATTCATTCATTTCATTCATTAATATATATTTTGGGGGGGGGGGGGCAAAAAAAAAGTGTACAAAAAAATGAAACAACAGCGCAAATGCATAAATAAACAAATTATGGTTACTCCCCTGGCAATGGACATGTGGGTCCATGTCACGCTCCCTTGCTCTTGATTTTTCGTATCCATTTCCCACCCTAATCACATCACATCACTTTACAATCAAACTCAATCACTGCTGAGCCATGCTGAAGCACTTTGACACAAGCTATACTCAGCTAAGTTACCTAGAGAAGCTTTAACTCGCACGAGACAAGTTTAACCCGAATCAACCATGCACAACGAATTGGTGCAAGATAAGGCTTGGCTCTCCGTAATGTAGCCGTTGAATAATACGGTGTGTGCTCTGCAAACAGCTTAAAGTGCACGCTGGCTAGCGATGGCTGGATATTACATCAGCGAATGAGTAAAAAAAAAACCTACCTTACGTGGTGTACAACCACAGCTTAAATAATGTGTGTGTGTTTTAAAATTGCAGGCAAGATTTGATTGTAGCCTCACTTCACTAATTCAGATTTTGTCATGTGACAGTCATCGTCTTTTTTTTGGAGGGTGAGGGCGGAGGCTGGCCGAACTTTGACTAGTACGACCCGCTAATGTGCCGTCCCCATGCAGGCCTCCGGTGTGAAAGTGACGGACGAAGTGATTGCCGTCTTCAACGACATGAAGGTGCGCAAGGCCCAGGCCAACGAGGAGGAGAAGCGAAAGAGGAAGAAGGCCATCCTCTTCTGCATGAGCAAGGATCTGAAGAACATCGTGCTGGACGACGGCAAGGAGATCTTGCTGGGCGACCTGGGCAACACTGTGCAGGACCCCTACCAGCACTTCGTCAAGATGCTGCCGCCCGACGACTGCCGCTACGCGCTCTACGATGCCACCTACGAGACCAAAGAGACCAAGAAGGAGGACTTGGTCTTCATCTTCTGGTGAGGCCTTTTCTCTGCCTGGAGGAAATATGGGTGAAGGTGCATGTGGGTGACTGAATTTCTAAACATAAATCCCCAAATTTCCCCAAAATAATTGCCCATATATGATGCATCCCCACATCTGGGACTTGCAGGGGATTTTAGGAACCCACCCAAGTCACGTCAACATGACACCAAGATGGCCACAAGTGACTGCTTTTGTTTACAAACACCATTCCAATAAAGTTGGGATGTTGTGTAAATAAATAAAAAAACGAGTACAGTGATTTGCAAATCATTTTCAACTTGTATTTAAATGTATACACCCCAAAAGACAAGATATATAATGTTCAAACTGAAAAGCGTTTTTTTGCAAATGATCTTTTACTTGGAATTTTATGGCTGCAACACATTTCCAAATAGCTGGGACAGAGTCATTTTTACGACTGTGTCGCCACACCGTGTCTTTTAGCAACATTCAATCAATGTTTGGGAACTGAGGACACTAACGGGTGAAGCTTTGTCGGTGGAATTCTTTCCCATTGTTTCTTGATGTACAGAGTGTGTTCAGCAGTCGGGGTGGGGGCGGCGGCTCCATTGTCAGCTTATACGCCTCGTAGTCCGCCACATATTTTCATTTGAGAGGCAGGTCTGGACTGCAGGCAGGTCAGTCTCGTAGCCGTACTCTTTTACCCCAAAGCCATGCGGGCGTAACAACTGTTAACATGGTCTTGCTGAAATAAGCAAATGGGCGTCCCATGAAAAAGTTGTGGCTTGGATGGCAGCGTATGTTTCACACGTGTAAATTATCCATGCCATGGGCATAACTTGACACTTACACAGCCCCATACCATCACAGATGTTGGCTTTTGCGTCCCTTACAGACCGGATGGTTCTTTTCCTTTATGACGTCCACAATTTCTAAACGTCATTTTAAATGTGGACTCGTCAGACCACAAAACACTTTCACGCTTTGCATCAGTCTTTGTTGAGTTCTGCCCCGGCGGTGATTCTGGCTGTCGATAAATGGCTTTTTTCTTTGCAGTTTTAAATTGCACTTGGATATATACTGACATTGGTTTTCTGAGCCCATGTTGATGTCGATTTTTAATGCAGTACGGCCTGAGGGGTCAAAGGTGATTCAGTGTTGGTTTTTGGCCTTACGTGCAGTGATTTCTCTAGACTCTCTGAACCTTTTGATGATGCTATGCACCGTAGATGATGACATCCCTACATTCCTTGCAATTGTACGTTGAGAAACATTGACTTTCAACTATTTGACTATTTTGTCACATAGTTTGTCATAAAGAGGTGCACCTCGCCTCATGTTAGCTTGTGAATGCCCTCGCACTTCAGGAAAGCTCCTGTTGTACCCGATCATGGCACCCACCTGTTCTCAGTTATGAGCATATTTCCCATTTTCCGTCTTTTTTGCCAACTGTCTCAGCTTTTCGGGAATGTGCTAAAGCCATAAAAATCTCTTTTGCTAAAAACAAAGTTGATCAGTGTGAACATTAAATACCTGGTTTTTGTGGCATATTCAATGAAATAGGTTGAGCCTGATTTGTAAATTATTGTATTCTGTTTTTACTCACGTTTGACACACTGTCCCAACTTTTCAGTTTTTTTAACTTTTAAGTTTAAGTGAGTTGAGTAGTGTAATTTAGAAAAGTTGATTTTTTTTTTTTTCCCCTGCCATCTTGTGCCACCTAAACCAAACCTTTTGGTCGCGACCGTCAATGTGCTTATTTTTTGGTGTTCATGGTAAGGCTTGGTGCTCTTTGCAATTTGAATGAGTATTTTCTTCGCGCAGGGCTCCTGATGGCGCCTCCCTGAAGAGCAAGATGATCTACGCCAGCTCAAAAGATGCCATCAAAAGAAAGTTCGAAGGTCAGTATTTGAAAACCAGCAAGCCAGCATGTGCTTTAGTTTGACTGGTGCAAGATGGAAGAACTTCAGTCAGGGATTCTCAAGCACATTGCAGTCTTTTGCCACGAAAAATTGTCAGATTTGACATGGGAAAGTATCCCAAACTGCTGCATTTGTTTATCTATGTCAGCAATATTTAGTGATGGGGAGAAATTGACTTCTCTTCCGCAGGATGGTAGAAGGTCCAGTGTCCCAGTCTACTTTGTGACCTTCATACAACAGAATAAGAGCAAACTGAGCAAGTAAATGTGTAAATACGTAGACGGGGCCCTGCTGCGTATAGTTTAAAAGCAAGTCATTGATGCTCACCAGCAATGTTGTGATTGCCATTTATTAGTTTCAACTTTTGCCAAAGTCATCCTAGAGTGTTACCGTTCAAAATAAATTTCTTAATGATCATTTGAATTTGGGGAAAAAAAGCACGGGCGGTGCACCTTCACAGCCTGTAAAAATTGTCAAGCCATGAACTGCTACATTATCTTTTGAATCCACATGTGGTAAAAGCCTCTTTGCCTTCTGCTACCAACCCAGGCTAAGCTTAGCTACGTCCCGACATGCGAAGATCCGCCTGGAATGGACGCTTGGCGACAACACCTGCACCTTGAGCAATTTCATAATTGACTCGCCGAGACGGAAAGTGTGACCCTGTTTTGGGTTATGAGGCGCTACATAACCACTTTAAGTCACAAAGTCAAGTGGCTGACTGTCAGACACTCATGATAACTAGTTGGCAAACTCGGAATCCTGCTTGAGAGTTTCGTCAGGTTTGACCGCAACGCTCGGTGTGCGCACATACTCAGGTGTTGCAACTGACGCTGTATCATCTTACTCGTCTGAGATGTGTGTGCTACCAAGTCAGACCTAAAAAAAAATATCGATGTAAAATTCCCCCCTCCTTGCTCTTACATCTTCACTCTGTGGTGCGCGCGCACTCGTGGCCAACAATGAGGCGCTGTACCGAATATGCAATTTCAAGGTGTAGACTTGGCTAGCTAGCTACCTGCATGTTACAAATGATGCAAACAAAGATGCTCAAGTTGTTAACCTGGGGTTGGTCGGCTCATCAATGCGCACCATTTTAGCCACGCCCAAAAATATCAGGAAAACAAAGTGGTGGAAACCAGTACTACATAGGTCTCGATCTTTATACAGTTTTAATTTTCTTTAGAGGAACGTGTGTGTGTGTGTGTGTGTGTGTGTGTGTGTGTGTGTGTGTGTGTGCGTGTGCGTGTGCGTGCGCGCGCGCGCGCAGATGTTAGCAGTTGGACGGATGTGCACACATCCCACCTATCATGTCTTCTTCTTTCCTTCCCATCAGGAATCAAGCACGAGTGGCAGGTTAACGGTTTGGAAGACCTGAAAGACCGGCACACGCTGGCGGAAAAGCTGGGTGGCACTTCAGTAGTCACCCTGGAGGGCTGCCCTATATAAATATCGGCCCTCGACCCCTTTCCCTCCCCCAAACCCCTTTCCCTCTTTTCTGGCTTCAGTGGAGGCCTATCAGACGCATCTGTCGGGTTTAGCTGTACGTTCCAGTGTGGTTTGGAGAAGGGCAATGAATAAAACCAGAAGAATCAGAACCAGCAGCTTGTGGGACTCTCTCGGGGTGGGATATTGCGGGTGGGCCTGGGAGGGGGTGCCAGCGACAGGTTCGCAAATAAAAGGTGATTGATTCCAATATCCAGACTGTCATTCCAGTTTAAGAATATGAACAAAACACAAAGGCGAAAATGAAAAGGTTCAATTGAGTGAAGGATGTTGTTGTGATGTTTAAAGATACGCCGGACGGGTTTGTCCCATTTTGAATGGGACACGCATCAACAAATGTTAGTTTTCCAACCATTCTGCTTTTTATTTCAACTATTTTTTTTTTTTTGCCAAACTTGTAACTTAAGTTTTGTAACTAGTTTAGATCAGGTTTAATGTTAAACTAATTCACACTCTGGATTGCACAAGACTTATCAAAACATTCTCTTGCTACATGATTATAGAAACTTTCTGTTTTGAACATGCAAAAATCCAAAACTTGAGTGGTTCCTTTTCTTTTTCCCTGTTCTGAAAATGGCATTTCATGTAGTTCACACATTCCTCGTACTTGTTTTTTTTTTTCCTCACCCAAACCAGCATCTCCTCATTGGGAAAAGACAAAATGTTGACGTTGTTAAGGTCTTGGTGGAGAGCGAAGTGTAAATGAAACACCGGTGGTCACATTTGAGACTGAATATTGAATGGTGGATGTTTTGTATCGTCTCCTATCTCTAATAAATAAATAAATTTAAAAAAAGCACTAAACTGACTGAGTTGGTATTTTTATACACCAAATTGCTCAAATCTCAGCTCATGAGATGAAGTCAGTGTTTAGCAGAATTTGATTCAAATAATTCTTTGTATCTAATATCTATCAAATCTAAATGACTTGAGGTGTAACAATCAATTGTCAGCTGTTGATCAGTGATCGTTTCGAGACATTGAACTTTTTTTTTTGTCCAAATCCTCATAACTTCAGCCTCTCAAAAATAAATATTGTCTCTCTGAAAGCAGACTGATCTTTTTGTCGAATCCAAGTATTTGCAAGTGTCTGCTTTTACTTTGCAAAACACCGATTAGCATTTTTGCTATTTTTCTGATGAATGTTAAGAACCAATCCAGTCACCGAATCTGAATTTGTTGCCATTTTCCTTACTGTCACGCATTATACATTCTTAAGTTTAAGAGCCGTACCTACAGTACCGCATTGGCTTACTCCAATGTGGCAGTAGTAATGGAGTACACACGACTGACTGGAAACACGATTTATTCCGCAACTACCAACAAGTGAATCTCGCGCATTACATAATTGAGCCAAAAACTTTAAGGTCAACGTGCCGCCAACAGCTCGTTTGCTGGGTTAGAGACATGGTCCTAGTGTCCGCTAAACTTTGGCATTTCAGTATTTTCTGAAAGCCCTGTGTAATAGAAAAGTGTTGCTTTGGCGCCATCTTGTGGCATTTTGGTCCCAAGGCGCTATGGTCAACCCCGCATGTTCGCGGTTTGGCATTCACAAAGTATTTTCCGTGTAGGATTTTTATTTTTCGTAACCCATCCTCTTTTATTCTCTGCTAAACGAACCTACTTACTGTTTTTGACGCAATCTGGTGCCACGACAAATGGTGGGGCAGTTAAAAATGAAACCCCACAAATTCTGCCCAACAACAAACAGCGGGATATTTTTAACTGTCCCCATAGAAATCACACACCATAATTTTTTTTTTTTTTTTTTGTCAATGTTGGTGTCAAAGAAATAATGAGGAAAGTTGAATGGTTCATTCACACCAAAATAGTACATTGCTCCCATGTTGTGGGATTTTGATGTCAAAGAAGAATGTTGAAATTAGTTAAATTTCATTTTGACAAAAGTAGGTCTTTGCCGCCATCTTGTGGCATCCATAAGCAATTTGTACATATGCATACAATACAGTACTGTATATATGGACATAAACATGCATATAGTTGTATGTATTTTGATAATGTGCGTATGTAAGGTCAGTATTTGAAAATGAGCAAGCCAACGTGCGCTTTAGTTTGGATGGTGCAAGATGGAAAAGCTTCAGTCAGGGACTCTCAAGCACAATGTAAATCCATCCATCCATTTTCTGATCATCTTATCCTTACAAGGGTCGCAGACGTGCTGGAGCCTATCCCAGTTGTCTTCGGTCATCAGCGGGGTACACCCTGGACTGGTTGCCAGCCAATTGCAGGGCACAACCATTTCGGACTCCAATCACACCTCGGGACAATTTGGAGTGTTCCATTAACCTACCATGCATGTTTTTGGAATGTGGAAGGAAACCGGAGTACCCCGAGAAAACCCATGCAGGCGCAGGGAGAGCATGCCAACTCCACACAGGAAGGCCGGAGCCAGAATCGAACCCGGTACCTCTGCACTGTGAGGCCGATGCGCTAACCAGTTGTTGGCGCCCATGTTGTAAGTCAACTCCTTATCCACACGAGGGCGCCACATCACCATTCAAACCATGCTCAACAGACGACTCCAGTGGTGTCATAAAAATCTATTTATTAAAATATATCAAGCATTTGTCCAAAAATAAAGTTAACATTCTGTCTGTCAAGCTCCTAACGTGTTTCTTTTCAGATGAAAAAAAAAATGAAATGGGTCCCGGAAGATGTGGAATCAACCCTTAGCTGTTTCCTCTGTAAAATAAGTAAATGGATAGAGACATGTACAAGAAGAATGTTTCTCACCTTGTAAAGATGTTAATACTGTACAGTGGAAAATATATATGGCGGTTGAGTAGGGTACACGCATATCGATGCTCAGGGTGAATTTGAGCTTCCGATCCGAATCAGCAAAGTGTCAAATCTCAAAATGTCTGAACGATTATCCTGGTCTGTTAAAAGTTGTTTTTTTTTTTTAATTCTCAAAACTGTCAGGGCTGACCTAGTAAATGTTCAACCTTTTCAATATTTCTAATGGAAAAATCATTGCTTTCATGTGATGTGAAACAGAATCATAAACTTCTTCACTATTTGAGATTGCAAATCATGATCTGTATGATCAAGAAGAGTTCAGCCGAAGTACGTACTCCGTGGTCGAAAAGTGACTTGGAACGCTAACCAATTAAGAAGTGTGATAATAGGACCGAATTTTAACATAAACCCTCTCTTGCATTCAAAGTCAGCAAGGGCCCAATTATTAGATGTCAAAAAGATGATCTCGAGCAATAATCTGGTGGCGTGGAGTTTTTTAAGAGTCATTCAAACCCCCGACATGCTCTCGAAACAGCCGGGGTTAACTATCATAGATATTAGAGCTGTTCAATGTTTATGATCGGGAATCTTTAGCTCAACACCGAGTTCATATGAGTTACAGACTCTGTGATTTTGTGATGTGAAATGGAAAGTCAGCCAATTAAGTGGACGATACACCTCCAGAAAATCGGGTCAGTTTGTCAAATGTCTCTACAAGATTATCCTGAGCAAGCTCCCTCGCTGCCCATCTTTAAAACTCATTTTCATTCTTCGTACAGCGAGTGTTGTTTTAAAATGCTCTATCAATACAATTATCTTGTGGCCTTGAGCGTGTTTTGAGTCATTTTCCCTCCCTGTTCTGTTGGAATAAAAATCATGCCCACAATTACTTCTTAGAGCAGTTATGCAACATATGCCGATTTCTTATCGTCATGTGTGGGCTCTCTCACATTTCAAAAATCAGTTACGTTGTTACAACTGGGTATGCGTGTACCCCCTGCTTATAATAATAATAATAATACATTTTATTTGAAGTGCCTTTCACAACACCCAAGGACGGGTGTTATTTTCCAAACAAGTTATGCTCGGACACGTCAGTCCTGTGAGCAGTCCAAATGATTTCCGTGCAGCCAGTAGCAAATCTGCGCGAACTTGAGCGGAGTGATGCGCACGGCCACGTTGTAGTCGCGGTTCTCTCCGTCCACCTCCAGCCACTGGTGCCCCGAGAAGATCCCGATGACCTTCCTTTCCCAGCGTTCCAAGGAATTGTCCCACACCCGGCCGTACACGCCCGATCCGCTGGCCCCCGGCCGGGCGTCACAGTGCTGGTAGATCAGGTCGCTGGACTCTTCTTCCACCGGGCAAAAGCGGTAGACCAGCTCTCCGGGTCGGTCGCTGTCGAAACCCGAGAAGTGTATGCGGCGGCCCGCCAGGCCGTCTGGGGACGGCGCCACGGCCAGCCGCATGAAGGCCCGCCGGTGGGGCCAGCGCAACTCCAGAAGCGCATAGTCGAAGTCCATGCTGAGGTCTTGAGGGCCTTGGATCCACCCCTTGGGGACCCGGGTGCGCCTCACCCGCACCCAGCGCACCATGGGCTTCTTTCCAGACGAGTGTTCCGCTGCAGTCGCGTTAACAGACGGCGGGATGAGGAAGCCCACCCGGAGCTTGCGTGCCCCCTTGACGTAATCCTTGCCGTCGTGGAGGCAGTGGGCGGCGGTCAGGACGTGCCAGCGGGACACCAGGACGCCGGTGCAGCCCGTGGAGATGCGTACGGCCGCCGAGAATGGGTAGTCCAACAGGAAGTTGTCACCCTGGATGCTGAAGCGGCCGTCGGCGCCGTAGATCTGGCGCCTCAGGCGCCGCCGTCCGATCCTGCGGCTGGGTGATGAGTCGACGAGACCGGCGCCCTCTTCCTCCACGTCCACGGTGGTCAGCGTGCGAGAGCCGTCCCAGTAGAGGGTCTCGAAGGCCAAGTTGTCAGCGGCCTGGTGACCCGGTAGTCTTCCTGCGCGGTGGAAGCAGCTCGAGTTGCAGTGGGTGGTCAAGTCCAGATGAGGGTGGGCGCTGAAGCGGGAGCGCAGGAGAGGTGTCGGACGGTGGGGGACCAGGGTGGGGACCAGGGGGCGTATAGGGGGACGGTCCGGAGTCTCAAGGGAGGACGCGAAGAGAAGGAACATCAGGAGGAGAAGAAGAGCTGGTAGGCGAGAGCTGGCACGCTCACTCATGGTGCTGCTGGAACCACGCTGTCAACATACACGCACACACACACTAGTGTCAGTCCTTCCTCCAATCATTCTACACATTCACAGAGGAACAACAAGGGTGCTGCATACCAATCGATCGACATATACTGAGCTTGGTAAGAAACCAAACCCTTCATCTTGAGCCTTGGGGTTACCTAATTAGGGTTAGAGTTAATGGGTCGGGGTAGAAAACCGAGCCCTTCATACTGAGGGTTACCTACCTACCTTCCTATCATAGTTAGAGTTATGGTTAGTAGGGTTAGGTTCAAGTTACCTGCCGACTTACCCGGGTTTAACCCTTTCAGGGACATCGGTCACCACAATGGACAGTTTATGTTATCAGGTTATCATTATTTGTGGATAAAAGGGTTAAAGTTAGGATTACCGACCTACCTACTCACCTGCCTACCCAAAACACCCAGCATAACCCTTACACGCCAAACCAACCATCCCCAAATAACCTACCCTAGGTCCTCACAATGTTCCCAAACTATAGAGTCAAATCAAGTGTAAAGGCTCCAGAAGCCGCATTAACAACGTCCCGCTTTGTCCATGTGCTACAGATTATCTGAGTAAAATAGGATTTCAAGACAAATACCCAATACGCAGCACTTTTATGGACGCGTGTTTGCATTCCAAAAAAAAAAAACCCACCGAGGAAGTCAAGAAACCTCAAAACAAGCTGTTTCTTTAAAAAGAACACAAAAGAATGCCCGATGCCTCGTCTAGAGCAACGCTTGTCAAATTCACGGCATCCCCTGGAACTCCTTGGTTACTTCACTCCACCAGGTTCAAAATCTGAGACATGTCCGCAGTGTGGGTTTGTCTGATGGATTAACAAGCAGACATTGCTCATGTTGAAGTGGCCTGAGGCACTTGTGCTATGTACGGCCAAGGTGTGGCTAAGTGAAACCAGACAGGTTGAGACAAGGTGGCAAAAAAAAAATAACATTTCTCACCATGTGTACGGGTGTGGCCTACGCACGCGCACAAATGACTTCTCAGGTTTACACTTTTCATACACAAAAAAGACCCTCCTGTGAAATCCTAAAAAAGTTGGGCCATGAATGCATAACCCGAAAAAACAACAAACTGATCCAATCCAAATCAAGCCTGAGCCAACAGTGGACACTAAATTCCTTCTTTTGTTGGAGAGAGACAGAGAGAGAGAGAGAGAGAGAGAGAGAGAGAGAGAGAGAGAGAGAGAGAGAGAAAGCAAACAAGTCAAGTTTTGTTTGAAAGACTGCGTTCTTCTTCCACTCATTGTTAGATGAACGCTACATGCAAATTCTGCCAAAAACAACCCAGTCAGAATTTTTTCAAAAATCATTCTTTTTGCACATCTGCTCCTAATACACGATATTACACTCCACTAGTGCACGTGGAATTCACGTACTCAACTACTGCACTACGGTAGTGTAGCTCATTTCATAAATAGAGGAATGTATTATTTTTTTAACCGCTTGAACACCTCAATTTCCCTTCTGGGAATTAATTTAAAGGAGCTCTAGATTCGATTTTATATACAGTACAGTATATGTTTAGCCGTGCGTCTTGACGAGCGAAAGCGAGAGAGATAAACGCATTTTAATTCTTCTGAATGTCCCGTATGAATATAGAAAATTAAAGCCCCCCCCCCCAAAAAAAATCGACCTTGTTTTTACTTTTTTTAAAATGTGTTGGTTATTTCTGTATTATGAATACAAGTGTGGAATATTGCCATCTATCTATCTGTCTGTCTGTAACGTTCAGGTGTGCATGTAAAAATTCATATTTATCAACGTCTAATGAACGTGCAACTTCCAAGGTGTCGTTTGTCCTTCAAAAGACAGGTAGGTATTAAAAAAAATAAAGGAAAACTATATAGTGCAATGTATATTACCTGATTTATGAATATGTGCCGTCCGTGTTTACATCCATGACTGGTTGTCCTTTGGATTGCATGCATGTGACGAGTAGGCTGTGGGTGGCTTGCCGGCAGTGAGGCAGCCGGTGCGGAGTAGTTGAGTGGCTTCCTCTGCGGGTCCGTCCGTCCTGCTGAGCCAAGGCGAGTGTGGCAAATGATTCTTCTCCCAAGCCCGCACCCACCGGCACGCACGAGCTCCACTCGTGCGTGGAGTCAGGAAGCTTCGGTAGCGCCTCACGCCGCGCGCCTGCCCGTGGTCCTAGCGCCGACAGGCTTGCAAATGAAGCCTCTGTCTTGAAAAATGTTGTAGCTGTACTTTTATTTTTTGATAGTGGCTTTTTTGTCTTTTCAAGAACAAAATGTTTAATATTAGAAGAGAATGAAATTGTATTTTTAAATTCACTGGATAAAATCCTTCCGCCGTTTGTTAAATTTGGACAGAAATATATTTTTAAGACTATTTTGGAAAGAAATATTTTTTTTCGTTGTTCAAGTTGAAGCAAATTGACAAAAGACATCTCCAATTTCTGTGAAATGAGTCAAACTATTTAGATGGATGGATAGATAAATTAACACAAATCAAGCAATTAAGAGGATCATTGGGGAACAAAACAAACTTTATTGAAAGAATTTTAATGATAAAATGAAACCTAATCATAAATAAACCCAGACAATTCCCCCCCAAATATTTTTTGTACAAAAACAGAAAAAAAGAAAATGTTCACATAAATATAAAATTATGTAACATGTTTTCTGAACAAGAATTAACAAGTGTAGAACTTGTTAATTCTTTTTAATTTTTAATTAAAAATTTAATTAAAAAAATTAAATTAAAAAAAGAATAATTACAAGCACAAACTCTTGAACTTTAATTTACATGTTCTTTACCAAGATTTAATCTTAACACTTCAAATACACATCAAACTCAGATTAAAAACAGAGGTGGGTTACATAATCCATCCATCCTACATTTCTAATCCATTTATCTGCACAAGGGCCAAGCTGGAGCCTATCCCAGCTGTCTTTGGGCAGTAGGCGGGGTACACCCTCAACTGGTTGTCAGCCAATCGAAGGATGGTCACCTCACTTGACCTTGGTCTTCAGCTCCCCTTGGAACATGTGTGTGAACGTGTGGGGAAACCAAGGAATTTAGTACGCGCCCCTCGGACGCTCCTGAAGGGCCGGGATGGCGCCGGACAAACGAGAGCGCCCGGTCACGGCGATGTAGCATGCAGGAATGTCAACGTGTCTCAAGACAAGAACACGTGTCAGGATTGGCGCAATACCGACCTTGTTGTACTGTACCACACACTTACATCAACACACAACGACTCTTACACACAATGATTCTCATATACTCTTTTTCTGGCACAAACACCACACACCCAACAATCCATCTGCTCACTCACTCACTCACTCACTCACTCACTCACTCACTCACTCACGCAAGAAGGTGAGGCCAAGACAACATGCTGGTCATTGTCCTCCCTGGTGCTTTCCATAAAGTTGTTTGACATTTATTGGACATCCAACTAAGCGCACTGGATTGTCCTGCTCGTAAGGACAAAGCGCATGCGTGTGCACAGCCCTCAAGATGGATGTCCAGGATGCCAAATAAAGACTTAAAGGGCTTTCCATACAAATTGCATGCAGATGAATTTTCCTTGTAATGCTGACAGTTCAGTCAAGATCAACACGTGGCCGCAATTAACACCCTCATGCTTCAGTTGCCTTATTGCTAGTCCCAGTTGAATGTTTTTATTAAGTACAATTTTATGGAGGGGTGTTTTGCTCAAAAAAAAACACAAGGGGTGGGGGGTTGCTGGAACGAATTAAAGGCATTTCCATTTATTTCAGTAGGGAGAGATGATTTGAGACATGATCGCTTTGAGTTGCGAGCGTCAACACAGAATTAATTAAGAGTCATATGTCAATGTAAAACTATGTTGACTGCACGCTGTGTCGTGGCTGATGGCTGTAATTGCAAATTGTAATCTTTTCTGCTGTAACCGCTTTACACGAATAATCAGGCCAACACGTGCACACACAAACACACAGTGAATGGTGACATCCATCCATTTTGCACACCGTTTGATCCTTGCGAGAGGTGCTGGAGCCTATCCCAGCTGACTTGGGGCAGTAGCTGTGATACACACTGAGCTGGTTACCAGCCAATCGCAGGACACATATAAACAAATAACAATCAGCATTCCGTAGAAAACCCATGCAGGCTCGGTGAGAACAAATTTCCAAAAATAAGGCCAGGGCTGGAATCGACCCTGCACCTCTGCACTGTGAGGCGGACGTGCCCACCGGTCTTTCACCGTGCTGCTGAATAGTGATTTTACAACTGAAAACAAACCCACTCAGAAAACGAATTACAGTGGCACCTCTACTTACGAACGTCCCTTCATACGACATTTTCAAGTTACGAAACGTCTCAACAGGAAAATATTGCCTCTTGTTCCGAAAGAAATTTCAAGATACCAAAGGTAAAAATACAGTATGAGCTGTTACTAGCAGCTCCGAGTTTCCTAAACGCAACACAGCTATAGCTGCTCTGCCATTGGCTATTACCGATCATCATCCTGGCCTCCCATTGGCTAAGAGGTACCGTTTGTTCCAGAACCAATTAATTTCGTCAGCAGAGGCACGCTCTAGAAGTACCTAAATTAAAAAAAAAAAAAACAAAAAACAAAAACAAAATTATCAATTGCTATTACGAAAATATCCCCAAATTATTACAATCCTGGTGGTTAACTGGCGATATGGAAAGAAAACCGACTGGACTTATGTGTGTCGTTGGTTTGAATAATTATTTAGTGTGGTTAATGACCAACAGCCGTTGTCTGCCGAATGAGTCATTGGCAAGCAGGTGAATGAAACAGCAAAAAAAAAAAAAAAAAAAAAAAAAATCAACATATCGCCGAGGTCTCCGGCCGTCTGTCAGACAGTATTTGTCTGCGAGTCCTCGCTCACACTTTCCAGCATGATTCATCGGAGAAAGTAAGGAAACACTGCGACGCGTTCACCTTACAAAAGCAACAGCTGTCAAGTTCACAAAAGCGGCCCCCGTTCGAGCAGCGCACGAAAAAGCCGCCACGGAAACTAAACGTCAGCTTGTTTGACTTTCTGGAGGGGTGATTCCTTCCTCTCATGACTGGTAGCCCAGTTTGTCGAGTCTGCAGGATTCCACGACGATGAGACGACTTCAGAAAAATGGCACGGCTCACCAATATGCAAAAATGGCTTCAAATTCATATCCACTGAAATAATGACCATCGCATGTCAGTGATTTGACAAATGTGCAAAACGTGCGCCCCTGTACTCGAACACGTTGCCTCTTTTGTGTCATTTGAATCGCTACACGGGTTACTTGAACCTTGTGGAATCTGGGCCAGTGTTTCTCAAAGTGAAGGGTTGCTTAGATGCCCCCCAAAATTTAATATTCTACATATTTTTAAGTGCATTCCTACGATATAGATGGTGCCACTGGTAAAAAAAACAAAACAAAACAAAAACAAAACATAAAATATTGATTAAAAAAGACATTCCGCCCTTAGCTTTGGGTCAGTTAAAAACGCTGACATGATTGTGACATTCATTTTTTGAAACAAAAGGAATAATTACAAGAATACTTTTTATTTTTTGTTAAGATAGAGATTATTTCTAAAAAAGAATTGAGGCATCGTTCGAGGAAAAAATTTGACAATTCACTTGTTAAAATGTGACTTTCTTTCCTTGTTAAACTTTGACTTTAACCCTTTCAGGGACAGCGATTACTACAGTGGACGGCGGATCATGTTATCAGGTTACAGGGTGCATGAAAGGGTTAATATCATTATGTTTCAACTTTTTATAGGGGGGGAAAATAAGATATTGTTTGATCCTGACAAGATATGTCTTTGTTCTTGTAATGATAACATGATTCTCATAACATTTGTGATTGTAATATTACAATTGCTTTTCCCAATAGTAGGAAACGTTTTCTTCCAATGACATTTAACGAGTTCATGTCATTATGTTAAGATGGTGTCTGGATGAAAAGGTGGTCTTTGGAAATTTTTGTACTCTATATGGGGTCTCTGGATCCAAAATGTGAAGCTATGTGCTTCCTCCAATGAGCTCCAGGAAGGCGGTGACCAAGCAGCATTTTGGACCAACTGGAGATGCTTGAGGGAGGACTGGCTGAATTCAAAACAAAGTGCATTATAGTAATCAAGTTGCGATGTCACCAAGGCATGGATTACTGTTTCCGAGTGCTGTTGTGAAAGGAGAGAATTCACTTTAGCCAGCTGCCTAAGATTGAAAAAAACAAACAAAAAAATGATTTATCAACAGGACCATATTGCCGGTCCAATTCAAAACCCAAATTTGAGACAGTTGGCTTTAGAGCGAGCCCAAGTCAACAGGGTGAAATGTACTGGGACCAAGGAGGCAGAATACTGTAGTCCATTGTATATAACGCTGCCGCCAGACCCAACAAAACGAGACATACATAGTCTCCAGTGCCATTACCCAGGAGGATATCATTAAAAACCCGTAACAGGGCTGACTTACCCTTACTCAGGACCCAAAGCATCCAGCTATTTATAGAGCAGTCGCATCATTTTAAAATCTATTCCACAGCTGACGTGAAGCCAGTGTAAAGCCTTTAAGACTGGAATCATATGTTCTGGTCACAACCTGAGCTTCAGCGTACTGAATGAGCTGCAGCTGTTTGATGCTCTTTTAGAAACCTCCTGGGCTGTTTGAAGTTTCACACGGCTTGTTTGACCGTGAAGCCAATTATCAGATTAAAGCGTGTGAGCGAAAAGGCTTGCGATCCCGTTCAGAAATCCTACTTTGCTGAGAGAAAGTGTTACGGGGGCCGGGGGTTGGGTGGGGGGGCTCTCGCAGCATGATGGCAAGTCTACATGCCCACCTTGCATGCCTCCGTGTACCCATGTGGAACGTGCACACTGTTGCACCTTCGATAAGTTGACTTGCGCTCAACCTTTAAAGCCAAGGACATGAGGGAAAAAAAATTAAAAATCACAGAACACCACCAAACAAAAATGTAACACAATGTACAGGAACTGGAATAATGATGATCCCATCTCAAATGACTCGTAAACGCAATGAAATGTGGGCCTGTTTAGCTGAACACTTCACTCTTATTCTGTCATCACTGGACCTTCTGCCGGCGGCCCGGT